ATGGAATAAAAGTGGAAAAAAATGTGACCTAGGATTTTAAAAAAAAAATGCTTTATGGGTGTGTTACTGAGTGTTAAGTATTTCCTGTCACTCATTGGAGAAGTAAAAATCACATATGCACAACTGCAGAGTTGTCTATTTTTCTCACTGATTATGTGCAGTGTGAAGCTTAAATTACATGATTAAATTCCGTAATGTGTTCCGTTGATTTTAGAAAAGTAACTGTACCAGAATACAGTTACTCAAAATATATTCTTGGCACATGTATTCAGTTAGTTCCCAACACTTTTTGTACTGTTATCCTGACATGAGGTGGTTATGACAGGTGATGGGATCCTACCTGTACGGAGCCCAATTGAGCGTGGGCAGTGACGTGTGCTCGCCTTTTGTACCACCTCCCAGTCTGCACATGTATCTGTGCAGCTCCAAACCCAAAGGCCCCACTGTACGATAAGCCTTGTCAATTATACAAAATCAAATCAACTATTCATAAGTCGGCTGTAACATGATACCATCCGACAGATTCAATAATTCAGGTTTGCTCCGGCTTAACTGGTATTAGTTTGTAGCTAATGGTCGCCTCTGTAAAAAATTCATCAAAGACAATGCCAGCGTGAGAAGATACACATAATTATGGCTATTCATTTACTTTACCCCAGCTCCCTCTGCGATTTAAAAGTGATCTCGACTGTTTAAGCATGCAGCAAGCAAAAGGTACTGTAATTTGATTTATGAATTTGATCCCACCCACCCCCTCATTTCATTCATCAATGTTTCAGGAGGAGCAATTATGTATTGTGGCACAGCCCTTCATAGCCCCATTATGCAGCCTGAATATCTTTGTCACTGGGTGTGTAATGGTATTGCTAAATATTCTATAATGGCTAGACCTTGTCCCTCACGCTCATTATTTGTGTGTCCTTCTGTTCAAATGGGACTTATTTTTTTCTCTATAATAGCATTTGACAAAAAGGACATGACAAGTTCAGCGCAGAATGGCTTTAATGCTTTTTGGCTTTTATGTTTTTTGAAAAAACAAAAGTGCAATTTTCACATCATTAAAACATTTGACTGAAAACATCATTTATTCGTAGAGTATTTGTAATGTTATTCCTAGTAAAATAAAGAAACGAGTATATATAATGGTTTAGTATATTTCTTGGTATTTCTATCATACATCAATAGTTTTATCTTATTTATTATTTTATTTTGTAAATAAAAGTATTTTATGGTTCTGTAGTTTTATATATATTTTATTAACACTGCTCCCTTCTCTTTAAACCTTTTACTTCTTTTTATGTGGCGTTGCTTTTCGTCACTTTTATTATATTTTTTAACCCCACTCAGCCACGTAAAAATGAACCAAAAAAGAATCTTGACCATTGTCCATTACTTTTATTCAGTCAGTGGTTAACATTCACCACATATGCTTTTTACTGCATCAGTTCCATCGTTGCAAGAAGTATAAAATGTGCTTAATGGTGAGGAAAAGCACTATTTTGTTTGCACTACATCAAGAGCCAGTCATATGAGCAGGGCCTGTCTCCACAGCGACTCACTCACTCAGCCCGGACGAATGCTCGGCGGTCGTGAACTACATCGATCAGGCCTATAATTCTCTATGAAATTGATGGATGAGGGCAGCCATTGACAGAAAGGGTAAAGACCACTTTGAGATGTCCCCTGTGAATAAGTATGATGGAAAATAGATTGTTGAAGAAGATTTATGTTTGTTCTGGGCTGCCATGGGAGAACAGGACCACCCCTCCCCCCTCTCTCCATTGTACCTTCATACACCAGCGCTGACCAATCACACGTGTCACTGCGGCTGGATTAGACTCTTTTCAGGCGGTAACTTTGTGAAGGGTAGGTCCGTGAGCTGATGCAGAAAGACTGTACTTCAAATAGTGGTAGATGAGAAACTGTATTGCAAACCATTTGTCTACCAGGAAGTGGTGGTAGTCCTGACCAAACATAGTGAAATCTAGAGATGGGTCCCCTTCTCATGCAGTGACATTGAAGTTCCAGTATTTTTACAACTTAATTTTTAACAGTTTTACTCATTTGCTGACTTGAATGTGAAGGAACCCCGGGTACTTGAAATCATTTCAAAATAATAATAATAAAAAAAGGTGGAATAAAAAACATAAGAATTATCTTTGAAGTGCATTTTACATCCTTAACAATGTTTTGGTAGGATCATTTTAGAATTAATATCATTAAAGCAACAAACTAATTGGCAGTATACTCGTTAACAGATTTATAATGACAAAATACATGATCCTCTTACGGAGGATTTAAGACAAACATGGAGGTTGGGACCCCTGCTATACACTGTAGTTGTCATTGTGAATAAAAATAGCTCAGAATGTCTTGTTTTGTCATGCTGTTGTACTTAAAGCCTTAAAACCCAGTGAGACTCTATACAGTAGCTCAGCCTTTCACTGTGGAGGTTCCTTGCCTGCGCTGCGTCTCTGTAAAAGGCCTGTGTGGTGGGACTTACACACTGTGCCTGCCCCTGTCCCACTGCTCTGTGCTCCTGTATTGTTGGCCTGCCAAAAGTGTAATCAGATAATACCACTGAGAGGTCAAAAGCACTGCAAGCTTTAGCTTCAGATTTCTGTCACCTCCTACGAAAACAACCAAAGAGACGTTTTCAATTGTATGTGTAGCTCACTGCAGAGACTCTTTTAACTTGAACTACAAGGAAAGTTGTTTATGTGCACCTCACTGTGAAGGAAATGTCTGCACCTACACTTATAGTTGCAAAATAAATGTGTATACAATAAATGTATAGTGAATGACAAACCAGTAAACTTTAAACTTTAGGACAGTTTCAAGCCAAGATAAAACAGCACAACTGTATATAGACAGCATAAAATATTAAGGCAAATTTCTGTACAATGAGTGACAGATGATTTACAGTTGAGGTTATAAAGAGTAAACATGGCGAATGCATATAATATAAATAATACTTAACTCCACATTAGTCTTTTTAAAGGCCACAGTGGTGAGCTTAAGAGTGCTTCCACTGAGGCTAGAACATCAGTGCTTAAAATGTTATTTAGAAATGATTTTCAACTTGTCTGCATTCCAAACAAACTCAACTGCAGGCCACATAGCATGATGTCCATATTTAACCTTATGTTGTAATGGTCAGCAACTTGTGTGGGCCCTGCCTCAAGCCCCTTCCCATGATGCTTTGCTGGTAGGGGTCCTCTCTTTGTTTAGCCTTTATTTACATGATCCTTCTATGAAAACATCACCTTTGGCTTCCCCTAGGGGCTGGGCCAGGATAAATCTAGTATCAATTAAGAAGACAGAGGAAAGAGGCCTTTTACAAACTCATGTATTCCAAACTTTTGACCTCAGAGGAGATTGTTTTGATGACGCTGCCAGAGGGTGAAGAGGTCTGCCTTTGTTTATGTTTGATCTGGCAGCTGCAGCCGACAGTGTCAAAAAGAAACAATGACTTTTACTTGTTCCCTCATTCAGAGAACACTGATGGTTGTGCTTAAAGTCAAATGAAAAAATCTAAGGCATTGAAGGAGGTATTAAAGCATCAAAAATGTTGACAGAAAATTGAGCCTGTCAAACACACACAAAACCAATTTCCATAATGCATGGCCTGTAATTACAGATGAGGTCAGAGAGGCCATGTATCCGCATGACCCCAGCATGTCATTGGATGTTTTCATAATTACAGTTTATGTTTAAGTAGGCAGGGTCTTAATATTTATTGTTTTCATGAATTATTTATCTTCTTTAGTTAATGTTAGGGACCATATTGCCTAAAACAAGCACTAAACTAATTATCCAGTTAGGTACTTTTTCCCTCAAAGCTATAGCTTTAGATTTGAAGAAGGGACCCTGACATGGCTCAAATGCAGTGTATACCTCAACCTAGTTAGATACCCTAAATCAGTGTGCTTTGTAACATAAAGGGATTGTTGCTCCTATACTTATTACCAACACAGTCAATTGTTTGTTAACCTGCCCGGGGACTGCAGATGGAAACTAGCTTTAGCTAAATCTGGTCTAAAGCATCTCTTCTTTTATGAGAATAATGTGTTTGCACATGGTCCCTGTTAAAATAAACCAATAAATTAACTAAATGGCAACATTGTAATTCTAATTGTGTAGATTTAACTTTCAAATCCAACCGCAAAAATTCCACTATTCAACTCAGAAAGTATGCCATTGAGTGATGCATGGTTAAAGAGAAAAATAGCTCATATCCTGTACACCAAAGAATGAATGAATGATGACTAGAAAATTGTCTCTCTATATGTATTTTATATTTAATTTATAGAGGAGAAATTACAACATTTCCCGCTACAATAATTTTTTTATTGAAAATAATTGCAATTTTTATTTTTATTTTTTATGCTTTTATTATTTTTGTTTATATGCTCTTTTCCCCTTTCATGTTTTATGAATCCTTCATTTGCCATTTGAACCACTTTTCTGTGGGAATTGAGGTCCATGCATACACTTATCCACGTGTACAGTAGTTGTTGCCAGGTGAGGACAGTGAGGACAGTGAGGATGTCCGGGTGGTGAAATCAGCTGTCACATAAAGCCATCTCTCAGGTGTAACTCAACTCTTTATAAGACACCAGCCTGATACAGCGGCTCATCCCTTTTACCTGAGTCCCATTATGTCCCGCCCGCCGCACGTTCAGACGACACCGCCGAGATCTGCAGCCGTCCGTTTGTTGTCTTCCCCAAGCACTTAATGTGATCAGACAATTAAAATTTCAGAGCGTCATTAATGATAGCAGCAGCATTGGAGAGCTATAAGGTTTCCTGTGGTTGTGCACTCATATCTCTGGCATGGCACACTCCTCTCTCTGAGTACATTAGCCCTGAATGCCCCACCTGCAGCCTGTTCACTGGTAGATTTACACTCATCAGCCAAAACATTATGACCAGCTGCCATTGCCTGAACCACTGCACTGTACAGTAGCCCAAAATGTGCAATAAAAAAAGAAAAATACTCAGAAACATTCATAATCATCACCATCCTCCTTATCATCCTCACAATCATCCCCATTATCATCATCAACACTATAATCACAAACCTTATCATCATCACAATCCTCCTCACCGTCACAATCATTATCACAATTAATATCATCATCATCATCATCATCATCATCACCATCATCATCACCGTCCTCCTCCTCATCACATTCATTATCACAATTAATATCGTATGATATCAATATCATATCATCATCACCACCACCACTATCACAAACCCTATCATCACCATCATCATCATTATCATCACCATCAACAACATCATCATCATAATCATAATCACCATCATCATCAACAACACTATAATCACAAACCCTATCATCATCATCATCATCATCATCATCGTCGTCATCATTATAATCATCAACAACAATACTATAATCACATACCCTATCATCATCATCATAATCACCATCATCATCAACAACACTATAATCACAAACCCTATCATCATCATCATCATCATCATCATTATAATCATCAACAACATGTCACAAACCCTATCATCATCATCATCATCGTCGTCATCGTCGTCGTCGTCATCATCATCACAATCCTCCTCATTATCACAATGAATATCACCATAATCATCATAATCATCAACATCATCATTATTATCATGCTCGTCCTCCTCCTCCTCCTCATCATCATCATCATCATCATCACAAAAATCACAAACATCATCATCTCATATTGTACTGAAATAAAATGCCGTTTTGCTCAAAATATTAGAACACTACTGTTTTGAACCCTGTGCTTTCTTTTTGTAATGTTATGCCTCATCCTCAATGAATTAGAGTTGGGCTGAACGGTATATCTAGTATCAATGAGAGCATCTCCAAATGTAATTACTTTTATAGAGTCCCTTTTTATTCATAATGGAGCAGATGTTGTAACTGTGTGAAAAGAGTAATTATATTTCAATAAGAGGCATGATTGACGCCCTTGAACTGGCAGGTCAAATTCTTTTGGTGTGTCGTTTTGTGAATAAAAGCTTAAATGTGCTTCAGGAGTCTAGTAAATATGGTAATAGAGATATTACAAGGACTGTTGATGAGGATTTTTGAACAGCTTAAGGCCATGGATTAGCCGCCATTTACAGCTTTTTATGTTCATTTAAAATGGTTCAAGTGAGCAAAACACTTTTGAATTCAAGTGAAAAATGAATGAAGCATTTCAAAGTATCATAGGTTTTAAAAGGATTAGTACTGGCGAAAAAAACAAAAAAACAAAAAACGTGAACAATGAATCATTTTTATGTTCATTTGATGTATATTTCATAATCCTCTCCAATCCTCTCACTGTACTATAAGTGGAAGGTTCTGTGACTCAAAATGTAAATTATTCTCTTTTTATCTTTATTCTCCTTTTCTTTCTTTGTAAAATAACTTTATTAAAATTCATTCAACATAGGTATTATGAAAGCCAGAAAATATGATAAATTAATTAGCATGAATTAAAAGGAGGCGAAAGAAATATAAAATGCACAAACTTGTATTGATGAATAAAATCTTCACTAACATAAGACATGTAATCACAAATAATTATATATTTGGTCAAAGAGGGCAGGACTTGGGGTTTTGAAATTCCATTGCCCCTCTTCTGTACAATCACAGCCTTGTACAAAAGAGGGGCGATGGAATTTCAAAACCAAAATGAAAAAAAATGCCTACTATATGTTTAAGTATTCTAGACAAAGCTAAAAAGATATTTTTTCAGTTTTAATACCATACTTCGATAATTGTCTCATAGTGTCATGTGTGAGAATTCCCCAGCCTTTGTATCCCAAACAGTGTCAGTGTGTCAGTGTGAGTGTGAGATGCTTTGTCTCGTTAATGAACAGCGTTCAGGCTCGTCCGTGGGGGCCGGCCACTGCTAGATTATCTTCTCCTGTTTTGCTATGAAAGCTCTTCTGGACGTAACCGAAGAAACTCAAACTCAAATGGGCTAAGGGTTGAATAATTCAGCGTTTACAATCAATTTGGAGCCCACCTCATCTCCACACCTCCCCAGGACCGCAGGGACCACGGGCGGCAGGATCATCTCGGGAATGTTGACAATTCCCAGAACAATGCAGTCTCTGGAACCGTGGCAACATGAGACACACTGCCAGAGCATGGATATTTGTGGGAGTTTGCAACTTACCATGATGAATTATTAAGAACCTCTCAAATGCTGTTTTATTGCTGCACATCCTTCATTATTCATATGTGACACAAAAGAATGCTGCTCATTTATTCTAGTATTTTTTACATACTTGTCTTACCTTACAGTAGGCCTTACTATACTTATTTACTTATGGAGAGAAAATAGCCCATAATTTTCCTTTTTATAGAATTCTCAAAAATATTTAAGTTTCATGGATATGGATGCAATTGTTGTAGAGTTTAAATACATTCCTATAGGTAATTCATTGTCAAGTCCAAGATGATGCTAAGATGAACTAATGTTTAATTTGTATTATTATTATTATTATTTTAATTAGTACAAATTATGTCACTTTATTTCCATATAATTCAAAGTTATGAAAATAAAAACAGCACAAAGCAACTGAAAACAACGATTAATTTTCAGTATACAAATGTGATAATTATTTATTTATTTATTCAATAGTGATAGTCCATATAATGAACATCTGGTTGCAGTGTAAATATACCAGATTAGAGGAAAGGTGCTTATCTCCATCTGTTATTCCTTGGCAGCTAACACAGAAGACAATTACAAAACATAAAAGAAAAAGATTACACAAATTATCATCACAATATCACATTGAAAAACAAATTAACAAATGCTTTGCCATGTAATAAAGCATATTCTAATCTCATCACACCCAAAGTATATTGACTCATTTTCATGCCCCCGTCAGCCAGCCCCAGTCACCTGCACTTGTAAAGTAAGTGTGTGTTAAAGTGGCTGAGAGAGTAGGCTGCAGCAGGTGTCAGCTTTCCCCAGGTATGAGAGCAGGAGGCTGGGGAAAGGAGGAGGAGGAGGAGAAGGAGGAGGAGGGGGAGGAGGGGAGGCCTGTGGAGGTGCTGCTGCTGAGTCTATTCCCTGTACAATACTCTGAGCTATAATAGTTGTGTGGATTACATCAATTGCAGGTGATAACAGACAGGCAGCAGAGCAGTCACAGGACACCAGCTCCTGTGTGGGCAGCCAGATGAATTATTTCTGCTGTCTCCAAATACAATAATGCTATAATGGGGCACTGGGGGTGATGAATTAAGAGACATGCTTGTATCTATGGAGATGTTACTGCTTTGCCTGGAATGTTCCACAATATGCTTCTAACTGTATGTAGATGGGCAGGTGGCGCATCCAGGGGCACATTACAGGTCAGATCAGTGGAGAGCCGACAATGCTGCAGTAAGATTGCATGTTTGTAAGCAACAAATAGATGTGATTGTTAAATGCTATACTGTGGAACATTCAAAGCACAGTGATCACTATGGGGACAAGCAAGTAGTGTATTCCCCTAGGGCTGGGATGATGGGTTGATACGATACACGTTATATGTCATAGTATATGTGATAATCAATATATTACTGATATATTTCTGTTTTTTAAGACTCAAAACATTTAAGGAACAATATTTCTTTGTTAAACTACTGCTTGTGCAAAGTTTAAAGTTGTATTTTAATCATCAAAACAGTGAATATGCCACAAAAATATCTTAAACATACCAAAAAATACGCTTGGCCATATATCAATACAGCAGCTCAGAATAATGATATTGTATTATTAAATTTAGTATTGATATTTTTGCACACCCCTAATATTCTCAACACCTGAAAAGTCACATAGAGCACACAGGCTGCTCTTGCTCTTTTACTGGAATAGTTCTTAGTTTGAATGTAATCATATGTTATCTGAAATTGTTTGCTATTTGTGCTGGGTATCATATTTAATTTCCGTTTCATACATCAGCGGTCTCAGGCAAGACATAATTCTGAAAACATACAGTTTACATTTTTGTTTAATCCACATTCATTAAAAGTATATTATTCTCATTGCTATTTTTTTGTGCAAAGACCTTGAATGTTTTCTATATCTTGAGGTAGATGACATAACTTGATAACTCTGATACATTACTGGAGAGTGTGCATATGTGTGCTTGAGCCTCAGCAGTCTCAGAGCCCATATCAGGTCCTTTTGCTGCAACAAAGTCAGGAGGATTCTTTGTCATCGGTGGAATCATGGGGGAAGCTGATACCTGGTTTAAGCATGATTAAATTGACACCCCATAGAGTGTCTCCGATAGGTTTTTGTGCTCTTGATACTGTGGCCGGCACTTATTCAACGCTGTGTCACGTCCAGGCTCAGCTGTCACTCTGACATCACTGCATCGCAATTACAGTGAGTGAAAGAGTGAGGGCGCCATGGGGAGAGGAGCCAGCCTATCCGTATGTGCCTTCTGTTTCTGAAGATGAATATGAAAGGGTATCTGTATGAGGAGGTAACAACATTATAACATGGCTTAAAGCTCACAGGTGTCAATTTTGCATCATATAGGACCTTTAAAGACATTAGCTGTATTATTATTATTTTTTTTATAATTCAGTGATGTACCATAAGTAATGAGGTTTATAAGAACAAGCAGTATACGTAACACTTACCAACGTTAATGAAATGCAGAATTATATAGCATATTTATTTTCATATAATATTTTGGATTTGCAATTTAAATTTGGTTCCACCTTATACCCTGTTTGCTTGATGAAGGCCTAGTGGTGAAACATTGCATGGTTTGTCTCACATTTTGCAAGTCACATGGTGTGCGGGATTTTTTTTATATGTTCTTGGGCTTTTCCCTCTCCCCCAATGCACCGGTCTCAAATAATTCATGTGCGAAGTTCTCATTCTTTTATATTGTTGGTTCCTCAGTATTCAAATTTCAAAACTTTCTCTTTGTAATGGACCAACATTGATCATGACTGAACAGTTTAAAATTGTCCAGACTAACTGGCATCTATTACATGTGACAAATCTCGCTTGAAAATGCACCAGGTAACATTTGGTAACAGAGCACATCCACTTGCTGCCTTGGAAATGAATAGATTTGCTTGGAATATTTCTCAGGATGGCATTAAACCGATTTGTCACCATGGATACAAGCAAGTGACGCCACCAGTTATCTGTCATCTGTAAAGACGTTACCCCACTCACAAGATGCAAGTTTTTCAATGTATGTTTATTGATGAAAACACCTGTAATTGAATAAATGCTAATAGTTAACTTTAATGCCATACAGTGGAGCATTCCAATCCAGGACAAGCAATAACATGGAGACAAACAGGTAGAGGACACTAAGCCAGAAACATTACACCGTGCACTTTTAAACATCATATAATGCTCTCATCTCTGCCATGTGTGGACCTCCGACTAAACCAAACTTTCCACACATCTGCTGCTGAGGTCTGTCCCGCTCTTTTTTAGTGTTTGCAATTGTCTTGAGGTTTGGACTTCCATCGTTGTGCTGTATTTATTATTTACAAAATACACATGCACACCACATTTAGTTTAATTATCTGCATCGTGTAACATGCTATCCTTTAATCCCCCCCCCACCCCCCCTTTTTTTTCTTCCCCAAACCTTTTAGGAAGTACAGAAATAGACGTTAATAGCGTTGATTGTGAGCCATAGCATGGATGTGTGAGTGTGGCCAACAGTTAAGTGAAGGAGACACAGTGCAGTAGAGAGTGAAGAGGCGTCACAAAGAAGCCTCTGTTTACACATGTCTCTCCTGGTCACTGCAGAGCTCAGCCTGAGAGCACTTCCTGCACTAAGTCATAGCATGATTCGTCAAAAGGAATCAGATGGATCTAACTGCTGTTCATGACCTTCTCTTGTAGCTACATTTTATAGTATCTTGTTTAAGTGTCAAGACTTGCCAAGAAATGAAGTACGAGCTTTGCTTTGGGTCAGCCAGTTAAGGATGCCGAGATACATTACATAATATGAAAATGATTTTAATTTTAACTTAAGATGCTCTGCCTGTTGTGAGTTTGGATGATTTAGAGTTGGCAAAATCATCCAACTCTAAATCATGTCTCAAACCAAATACACATAAATTATGATTTGAACTTTAAAGGTGCAGTTTCTAACTTTTCTGGTGGAGAGTCCTACACCTGTTGTCTCATTTTATTGTTTTGCCTGAATGTATTTCCATGGAGACAAGTAGGTGACACCACCAGACTAAGTTACAGGTTTGGTCTGTGGAGAGGTGAACCCACTCACAGTGTATTGCTGTTTTTGAGCAAGATAAAAGCAAACATTTAATACCATATTGTGGAACATTTTCAGAAAAAGTTTAAAAACTGTCTGAAAACTCAATAAACAGAAAAGATTTAAGCAGCACATTTTCAGTAACGTGTAATCAGTTGAGCGTTCATTGGTCCTGTCTATGTGTTTGATTTTCGACAAAAAGTTGAGAGTAACTTAAAAACTGTTGCCTAATGCTAGTAAGCGTGTGACTGTAGAAACTTGTTTAACAGCACAAATAATTTTTACTCTTGTAGTTCCAACTAAATCAGCTCATTGTGGTCAAAACAAAGCTTGGTCTGAGTAACAGAACTTCAGATAGAGTAGTACCTTCAGTTAGGCCAGGAAATGGTGATGACATCAGCTGCAAAGTATCAATTGAGTTTCTTTTCTGTCAGTACAGTTACTGCCGACTTTGATGCTGTGTGCATATCCCAAACTTGACATACTGTTGCGTATGTTATAATCAGTGGACAGTTTGATGGACAGTGTGGGCAGGAGATTTCAGCTCCGCACTTTTCTCTGTGCACATGTGACGATGCTCATTTGCAGCGGGCAGAAGACAAGTCATAAAAGTACCACATAGAGTGTACTTGGTTCTGGTTGGGTTTTGGTCCAGCAGACAGCGTGCATCAACCTCTCTGTGTGTGGCCCTCACTGTTTTGTCACATTTTTTATGTGTTTAGAAATCATCTGAAACAAAACCACCTCAATATTTCATCTCCACTGTGGTCGAAGTCCTCACGCACACCCTAAGTGTCCTAATGCCTTTTTACTCATATCAGTTTATTTTGTAATAAAGACATGGTTTTATATGGTGGGTAAGAATGATAAAAATAGATTTGAATGAGCATCTTTGACGATTTTTACACCAGATGCCAATCAATTACTACTCTTTCTTCCACAGTAAATGAAATGGAACTTACCATTTACATGTGATGTTCTTAGCAATGTTAACAGCCCTCTGCAGCACAGACCATTTACAGAGCAAATTGTCTTATTCTGTGCAATAATTTGAGTTCTCGGTAACTGTCATCCGAGTGTCACAGAATACAGTGCCTTTCTTTCCTCGGATTTCTTGAATGCTAATGAACTGTGTGATTAAAGCCGCTGTACCTGATTTTCACTCCTAAACATAAAAAAACACAACTTTTTCATTTTAAATTGTTTAAAGTTTCACTATACTCACTTCACTATCCTGTATTCTCAGCATCCTAAATATTAACCGTGATAAGTTTATAAGGGCTTTTCACAACTTTCAGAGGCCAGTTGTGTACTGGGACAAAAATCAGGTACTGCCCCTTACTTATGATAAGGTTATGAATAATATTTCGCAATTGTCAGCATTATCTCTCTTTCTCCTAATTCTCAGTTAATCAAGCTGTGCCACATATGAAAACTAGTACAGAAAATAGAAATAGTCTTTAAGATCCACTTGTTTAGGTGAGTAACAACACCCATGCATCTTCACTGTCCTTGTACTTGGAGCCATTTTCCATACAGTGCCAATGCTCAGAGTTGGTTGGTGATGACGAGAGGGGAGCAGAGCACAGCCCTGCTAATGGGACACTTAGATGTCTGATGCTTATGTCACTGGGTCCCAGAGCGCCGCATCCATTCGCACCGGCCTATCCTGGGCATCCAGCTCCACGCGGTGAGCATCGATCTGTGGCTAGCCCCCTGCCCCAGGACGGTCACGACTCAGGCAACCGGAGACAGCATGGTCCCCCATCACACGCACACTACAGCACTGCCCACTGCCCCGCCAACTCACGCCCTGACCTTCAAGTAGTCCTACGAAAGACAGAGAGGACTCTCAAAGGTGCTCTGTGAGAAATACAAAAGAAACAAGACTTATAAGACTAAACTATGATGAAATGTATGGGAGGATTAACAGAGGAGATTGTCAATGAAATGGGCAAACAATTTGGTTCACTTACAGTTATTACAGGTAACATTTACAGGTATGCAGCTGCACAATCTGCGGTTGCGTTTGGGGAGGGCATTACAAGTCCATAAAGATCGTCAAAAAATACAGAACTTTAGAAAAAACACATATGATAGGTGTTGATTATAAAAAAAATATTGCCGCACATTCCAGTTGACTGACTCTATAACCTCACTGTGTAAAGTTCGCTAGTGCTTCTTATACTGTTGATTCCGTCTGTTCAGTGATAACATTAATTTGAATTCAAAGAGAATAAATATGTTAATGTTTAATGTGAATTCTTTAAAAACTGTTGTAAAGAGAACACAACTTCATCACTGACAATATAAGGCCTGGTTGTTTTCTGAGCATGCCAGTCTTGTGTGGTGACTCAGAGCAGCTCATGTTGCATGGATGTGCTGGCTCTGTCGCTAACAATGTGTCGTGTCTATAGGCTTATGAGTGGTCCTCCACCTATTCCCATCATTCTCATCTAATATTGATGCCAAGCCTTCTTAGTTAAGCTCCTGTAATGGCAGGCTGATTTGAGATCAAGGACACCGATAGAGATCATCATCTGCATATGCTCCTGGGACAACTGAGAAGGACCTGTGTGAGAATAATACTACTAAAGTTTAAAGGACCCATATTAGTATTCTCTCTTCTTTGTCATAATGTTGTTTCCTTATCACAAATACACCTGGTGTTGTGTTTTGTTTTATTCGCATGGTTAGCACAAAACCCTGAATATTTAGGCTGAGTTCTCTGTTTCACCTTGTGATGTAATGTGGTAATACAGGAAATGCTCCACTGTGTTTTAAACTTCATACACTTTCATTAGAATCATTTGGATTATTTCAATCCTGAAACTGCCAATCTGTACTGAACTAAAGATAAAAGGAGCTGTTAAAAACTACCACTACATGACATCACAAGGTGGAACTGAGCATTTTAAGCTTTGGAGATGTAGACAGACTAATAATAAAGGATTACTCAA